GCGCGCCCGGGATCCGAACCTGCGAACCCTGGGCCCCCAAAGTGGAGAGTGCGAACTTAACCACTATGCCACCAGACTGGCCCTCTCTTAGTTTTCTTTGTTTCATATACTTTAGTTTGATTACTTAACTCTAAGATGATACGGTATATTTAATTTCTGCAGAGGCCTAAAAGAAAACACTTAGGGGCCGGCCTGGTAGCATAGTGGTTAAGTATGCATGCTCCGCTGCTGGCGGCTGGGGGTTCGGATCCCGGCATGCATCCACGCACCACTTGTCAGGCCATGCTGTGGCGGCGTCCCACATAAAGTGGAGGAAGATCAGCACGGATGTTAGCTCAGGGCCAGTCTTCCTCAGGCAAAAGAGGAAGATTGGCAGATGTTAGCTCAGGGCTGGTCTTCCTCACAAAAAAAAAAAAAAGAAAGAAAGAAAACACTTAATTTAATTTCAACAGAAGAAAAAGAAGTGCGAGTGAAACAAACATGCAGAACTTCAGATAAATGATTTTTAACAAGAACAATCAGTTTCTGAAAGAGAAAAAAATTATTGATTGATTAAAATATCAGAAGATGCTGGATGTGCAACCAACAATGAAAAACCCTGTATTATCACCCTTCTGCCAGCATTTAAAACCTAAATGTACCTCATTTTCAGATATCAGAGGAAATCCCTGTAGCCCACAGCAACGAGTACCAAGATTTCATGCGTGAATTTAGAATGTCGGTCTTCTCCGACCTTCTGAAATACCTGACCAAGGGAGAGAGGGCTTTGTCTTTTCAGAAAACATCGTTTCCTCTACTCCATCAATTGCTCAAAATTATGCTAGACTTGAACTTTATTTGTATTTCATCTTTGACTTCCTTATAAGCTTTTGTTTTTGCTAGGATTTCTAGTTGCAAGAGATAAATTTAGTTTCTTAATTATATAACTTGTATGATGACATTTACATTCTTTTTTATTTTATTTTATTTTATTTTTTTCCCCAAAGCCCCAGTAGATAGTTTTATGTCATAGCTGCACATCCTTCTAGTTGCTGT